AAGTCACCCAAACACCTGTCTAAACAGGTGTGTCTTTAGCTGGCTTTTAAAAGAAACCACAGAGTCAGAAGATTGTAAGGGAGCAGACAGAGCATTCCAAACTTCAGGTGCTGGAGCCGCAAAAGCTCGATCACTTAAGGCAAGTGCAGGGATAGACAATGAAAGTAGCATATTTGATCAAAGAGTGCAAGCTGAAGAATACCGGTGAAGAAGTTGAGCTACTTAAGAGGGTGCCTTACCGTGTAATGCTCTGTAAGTAGGAATGAGAATTTAGAACTGGATCCTAAACTCAACAGGGAGCCAGTGAAGGGATGTTAGTATAGGGGTGATGTGAGAGTGTGTAGGATTTAGGGGGATATATTGGCAGAAATCAACTATAATATAAGTATGTTTTCTATAGTTTATAATCACCTGAAAATAACAATTATTATGTTTTCTTTGCCTTAGAATGAGCTGTTTATATCTACATAGGAAGTGGGCTCTCTTCTTCAGAAATCACAGTGTTGCACTGCCATGTTTCTACAGTAGCCCAGAATGGACAAACCAAACAGTGGCTCTAAATAGGGTCATTTATGTTTGCACATATTTGCGTCAACCACCGTAGTTAGCAGCCTCTCTGCGATGTCCAAAAAACACTGATTTTTGACATGAAACCACTTTATCTGATGTTTTTTTTCCAGCTTAAATCACCTGCTCAGTTTTGGAGAGGAAGGGACCTCTGTATATAATCAGCTCCCAGTAAAAACCTCCTGAACAATTAACACTGAAAGAATCCTAACCAGGAGTTCATGCTTGGCACATGGGAGAAGTTTCAGCTGGTTGCAATCTGCAATCCTAAACACTAAATGCCTCTTATGCCTCTTCACACTGCTCCTGTAAAGGTCCATTAGTGGGATATGTTGTCAGAAATGGTATAACTGTGTTTTCTTTAGTGTATAATCTCGTGAAACTAAGAATCTTTGTGTTTTCGTTACCTTAGAATGAGCAGTTTATATCTACATACGGAGCTGGACCTCTTCTGCGGAGTCCACCATGTTGTTTCAAACACTGGCTCTAGGTAGGTCCATCCACATCTGCATCCACACTTGGTGCACTGAGGTTTCAGTTCGGCAACCTCACAGCTAGATGCCACGAAATCCTAAATACTAGACCTTTGATATCTTAAATGTTAAAGAACTGTCAACCATATGAGCAAAGACGTCCACATAAGGAGAAGCTATGTGGATCACATCCTTCATGGTGGTAAAAACATTGCAGGTTACAGTATTAGCTCAGAGATTCATGCAGTCTGTCTCTATATCTGATCTTATCAGTGACCCACCGGTATAAGGAGATCTGCACGGTGCTGACTGTTAGATCAGTGTATGAATGCAGCTCCTTATCTCATCTCTTGCTCTGACAACTCTGAACTCAACATGAACCGCCTCTTTCCTTCCAACAAGTTAAGATTGAGAGTTTTTACATTGGAAAGTAAAGGCGCTCATTGTGCGGGCTGGCTCGCAGACACGAGACAAACATGCACCCACAGCTGACCCAGTTACAATGTTCCTGTAATGTCCTCCTCTTTTTTTTCACTGAAGGTAGGGGAGACAAATGTGAGGTGTACCTGTGAGAACAGTGGTCCTTTGTTGCACAAACTGATTTGTTTTGACACCCACGCAGCAAAACGGAGCCCTCGCTGCTGCAAGTCACGTGCATCGAGTGTGATTCATCTTGTTTTGTGATAACTGGAATAGTGAAGTCAACTAAGAAACAAGATCATATTTCTCCTGTTTTAGCTTCTCTGCACTGGCTCCCTGTAAAATCCAGAATTGAATTTAAAATCCTACTGTTAACTTCTAAAGCTCTAAATGGTCAAGCTCCGTCATATCTTAGAGAGCTCATAGTGCCATATTATCCCACCAGAACACTGCGCTCTGAGAACGCAGGGTTACTCGTGGTCCCTAAAGTCTCCAAAAGTAGATCAGGAGCCAGAGCCTTCAGCTATCAGGCTCCTCTCCTGTGGAATCATCTTCCTGTTA